TCCAAACAGCGTTCTTTCCAACTAGCAACCACCGACCTTGATACCACTGCTTGTTTCTCTAGCATCAGGGCTTCGGCTTTCTCGTGTGCCTTTTGTTTGTTGGTCTTGGGGCCCTCCTTCGCCTTTGGTGCCTTTTCTGGTCTCTTCGTGCCGTGAGAGTTGGTTGTGGAGCTCTTTGGGTTTGCCGAAGGATCCTGGGAGATAATGGTTTCTGGGTCGATGTTTTTTCCAGAGGCGCCTGTCAGGCTAGCCGAGTAGGCGATCGTATCAGACATGAACTGTTGATGCTTCTTTTTGGCGAAGAATCCCTTGGGCTTCGCAATGTGCTTGGGATCAATCAGTGGCTTGGCGTTGCGCCAATGTGCCAACTCTTGGAAGATTTTGTCTGAAACCGCAGACTCGGACGCAACCCCGGTTGATTGGAGTTGGACGTCTGCCAGATACTGATCCATGATGGGGTGGTTGAAGGGAAGGACGGTTGACATTGGCCCTGATGGAGTGCCCCGGCTTTCGGAAGTCCGACTAATAGCGTTCACCGAGGAGCCGAACAAAGCGTCGACATCAACAGAGCTCAATACCAAGACTTTGAGCAGTTGTCACCATTTGGGTGAAGCCCTGGGAGAGCTCTTGTGGCAAGGGGGTGCCAAATAGCGCTGCGGAGACGTTGAGGTAAAGACGCCCATCGAACAGGTCAAAAGCATCCCATTTCAAGTCCACAAAGTTCCCGTCAAACCAGGCGGCGAGACCGTCCCGGGCAGCATCAAAGAACTCGACAAGAAAGGCGGTGTTAGTTGTTGTGGTGGCACCGGGTTCTTGCCGGGCGAAGCTTCGTTGCGGGAGGCCAAAATGTCGCAGAACAACAAGGTGAAGCAGGACAGCGGCAGCCTCTCGCCGTTGCGGCATCCCGATGTCTCCTGCTTTCTCGACGCTGGAAGAAAGCGCACCGGCCAACGCACAGACGGAGATGAACTCCCTCGCGGTCAGCCCATCGGCAATTTCTGACTCGGCGGCCTTCTTCATCATCCCCGCCATGGGAGGCGAAGGGCCAGACGGGATTGAAAGGTGTTCTTCTCGCTCGGGTAGAGGTGTAACCTTGCCTTTCGGTGTTGTCAAGGAAAAGTATGCCTACGGGTGGCCCATCGGTTAGTGACAATACAGGTGACAAGGCCGGGATCAGCGAACCTTCGAGCTCTTGAACTCAACTCCTTCGATAAACGCCACGTAGTATCCGGCCGACGCCATCACATACAGCATTCCCAAGGGGGTGATCTGCTGGTCGATGTCCAAGGATTCTTCATCATGGGCATTGGAACCAAGGAAGAAGTGGAGAGGGTGGCTGTCTAGGTATTCGCGAAAAAGGCTGCTCGCGAGACTTGGGAACGTGTGGCTGAACCTTGTTGCGTTAAGCTCACCGAGGCTGGTCGGGCTGGAAAAATGCTGGATGAGCACGACGCGAGCAAGACGGTATTTGCTGGCACGGGAGCTGTCGGCCCGGACTTCGCGAGGCATGCAAACGTCGGCCTCTTTCTCGAACCAGAATACGTTAAAGATGCATCCTCGATTCCTCAGCTTGACGAGGAACGCCTCAACGGCATGCACAACATGGAGGAGTTGGAAGCCATCTATTGATCGACTTGTCAGGGAGCTGGCGAGAAAATGAAACGGGGTCGCAAGGCGCGCGGTTGGACTACTCACAGTCAAAATCGACCAGCGCGTTGGTCAAGCAGTGGGTGAGCAAGGCTTCTCCGTGGATAGCAAACACGCCCCTGCCAGCGAAGTCGCCGACGACGTCGACAACGAGCGGGTTGAGCGAGGCTCGCCACGCCTCAAACTCAGGCATGTCGAATCACGTCTTGGGGGGCTTCGTTTCTTGAGAGATAAGTACAACCGAGACAACAAAACCCAGATGTGATAAAGCAAGGGCTGAGATGTCGATTGTGGGTGCGTGTGGAAGGAAAGCCAGCCCAACTTGGAAGGTTCAGTGGAGGGAAGGAGGTGCAAACGGAGCAAACGTGTTTTGCTGAAAATTATGCGGGGTAGGCCTCACCACATATTTTGTGACTCGCATTTCAAATTTCCCCTTGCTCAAAATTTCTAAATGGATGTTCCATCTGATGGGGATGAAGATTGCTGAAACGAAGAAGGCGCAAGTACTAATTACCTACAGTGCCCCTCCGCCCCTTCCCCCCTGAGAAATACACCCCTGAATCTTTTCCCCTTCCACACCAACAACCTCAATTCCCAGATCGTTATCTCGGGGTTTCCATTGTTACGAATGAAACGCTGAACTGAAATTCCAAACATTTTAGTTGTGATAATTCAATAAACCAACGGGCTTCCGCATGAGCAAACTATCCACATGGAATGTGGATGAGATGAACGACGCCCGAAGCCAATCATTCCAGGGGCTCCGGCCAATAGGAAAGCCTGTGGGTAGCGGTCGCGCTCCTGGCGCTTTCTGCCCAAAGGCCCAGAACATCCATGGGAGCGGGAGAACGCCCAGCATCTGCAAGAGGCCAGAACGTGGACAAATGGGGGCAAATTACCTATCACCTCGACCAGGTTTATATTAGTCCAGACCGTTTGATAGCCGTTTCCAGGTTTCTCCTCATTCCACCTCTCAATTATCACCTCCCTGAAACAAGATGGACTTGAGAACTCGGCTTCCGGGACACCCTCTCCCCCAACTCAACATCCACCACACCCTCTCCCAAACCACCCAAAAACGGACTCGGACTCCCCGGAATTCCCTCACAAAATGGACTCATCACCGGCTCACCACCCTCCCCATCACCACTCATCCTCCCCCCTCTCGCCGCACCACCAGCACCCCCCTTCTGCCTCGCCAGCGCCCTCACATGCCCCGCAGCCCGCATCCTCTCCATATTCTTCTCCCTCCTCAACACCTCAGCCTTCATCGCCCCGGTCACCGTCCCCTCCCTCTCCCGCAAACGATTCGCCTTGACCAACATCTCCCTCCCAACCACATACAAGCCCGTCTTGACCACCACCCACGTCACAGCGGTATTCCACACAAAGCTCACCGCACTCCGCGCCAACACCACCGCACTATTCGCAAACACGCTGCTCGAAAAAGCAAACAGGAACGACGCCAGGATGATGCCCGCCGAGATGGGGAACATGAGGCGCAGCTCGGTGGCGAGCGGCAGGATGGCGTCGGTGCTGAACTCGGTCGCGCTCATGCCGAACAGCGAGGCGCAGAAGGAAAGGGGAAGGAAAATGATGGTTACGATGGTGAAGATCATGATGGACTGGCCTTGCTTGAGCGTCAGTTGGGCTTGCTTGACGGCCTCGCGCGCTTCGATCACGCCGGCTTGTTGTTGTTTGAGGGTGAGGAGGTCTTTGAGCTGGGTGGTGAGTTAGTCGCGTGAGTCTTGTGTATATATGTGTGTGTGTGTGTGAGAGAGAGAGAGGTGAGTGCGAAGGTGTACGATGGAGGGGAGAAAGGGGGTGACATACTGCAACCGAAGTGTTTCGGGCGTTTTGGAGGAGGGCCCGGAGCTCGGCGATGCGTTCATCCACGTCTTGCAGGAGCATGTCGGCTTTGGTGAGGGTTCGCTTGGCATTTTGGCGTTGATCTTCCTCGCGGAAGTGGGCAACCTCGTCAGCGTATGGACTGTTGGGCTCGAGTGTTGGACCGCGCGTGACATCCCATGGGACGAGGCCAGTAGGCGCCGTGGGGCGATGTGAGCGGGCAAGGGGTGTGAGAACCCGCCGGATATGCTTGACGAAACTCTCCATGACGCTCTGTTGTTGTTCCTTGATTCGCATCATGATGTGGATCTCATCCATGATATCCTTGACCTCCTTGAGCAGCTCACCCTCCGGATTGATGTTGAGCAAGTGGTTCTGTGACGAGTTATCGGTCGTGACATGGCGTTGGCGTTTGTAGTCACGGGAGGCGAGGTGCGTGTAGATGAGGAATTGGTCGAATGCCGCCGTCTGCTTGTACGTTAGATCTCGGATGGCGGCGTTGAAGAGTTCGACGAGGTTGGGCTGTTTTGTATTGGTCTTGGTTCTGTCGAAGAAGACGCGAGAGGTTTCATCTACGATGACGAGAGCAAGGTCATACGCGGATGATATCTCGCCGTGGCGTGCATTTCGGAGGCGCATGCGTAAGCTCTTGTGGATAGCCGAGGGATCGGGCCGGTTTCTGCTCCAACGACGTGGGAAACTAGTGACAACAGTGTCTAAGATCCAAGGTCAGCAGACGGGACTCACGGTCGGGAATCAAAACCTGCTTACTCTCATCAAGTATCCACAACCACAATTGATCTACCATAAGGAGGCGTGGCGTCTTTCGGATGTCTTCGTTGCACTGCGGGCAAGCATCCATTCCGATACAATCATGTGGCTGGGGGGTGGTCCCTCTGTACACTACCTGATCCCTGTCTCTGGTACCAGTACTCCTCAGAGCGCCATAATAGGCCTGATCAAGTGTCCTTCTGGGGTGCATAGGGGGTTCGGCGTATAAATACCGCATTGTGAGCTGCTCCTCCATATGCGAGTCCATGGCCTCGAGCAATGCTGCAGCGGCACGGAGGGCCTGGCCAAGGGTCATCCTCTTGTCGACGTTTCCAAATGCAGGAGGCGAAGGTTGCGGTGCCCATGTTGGTGGAGCAACAGTGTCTCCCGCCTCTGTGTGAGATAACTGATGCTTAGCCTCCTTGATCACATCAGCGATGGAGCTCAAGTTGTGTTTGCCGGCTTCTTTGGTGATCTCCGCAGACCGTACCCGGCCCCGGTCTGTTTCCCAGTGGAGATACGGCATGAATAACACCATGTTTCTGGGGTTTGGCTCGGAGCTGACTGAGTCCACCGAGATTCCAGAGCAGAAAGGCCGCATGTGTCGGGCGTGGACTTCCGAATCAGCGTCAAAGTTCTGCTGGCCCCGCCAGTATCCGGGTTGAAGGACCCTCTCGGTCTTTGATTCGGGGCCCCTTGATCCGTACTGGTGAAAAAGGCCGCCTGCTTCCGGCCGCTTCTCATGATAGTATCGCGCAATTACCTCTTCTACCCAAGCCATATTGTTGGCGGGAAGGTGAAAGTAGCGGACAGCGCCGTCCTGGGCCGGCTTCATGATAGGATTCCTGGTCTCGTCTTCGCATAGCAAGTCGGCCATAGAAATCTTCTGGTTCGGGAAGGTTTTTGCGAGTCCAGGAACATCACATGGTTGCCCATTCTTGAAGCTCATCACAGAGGCTTTAGTATGTATGTCGGCCGGATGGTTGGCGCCACCAAACGCCGGGGTTCCTGGGGTTTCTGATCGTGAAGCTGGGCCAGGTTTGGAGGTTGCGGTATAGGACGGGGACGGGCGACCAGTGGCAGCGCGCCATTGAGCCATTGCCCGTTTGCAGTCTCTGAGCCGAGCACCAGCTGTAGAATCACGTTCGGTTGTCTCGAGACGGTCTCGAAGGCTAGCGATCTTTTCGTTGATTCGCACGATTCGCTGTTGACTTTCTGGGCTGAGGCTTTCGTAGAAGCGCCCCAGCCTCGAGGTAGGTAGACAGCCATTGAAATGAACCGCGGCATCTGAGACACGGTTGTCATGTGGTCTGTTGCTGAGGCAGGTGGCAGGAGGCGTATGGTGCGGCATGTTCGAAGCCGAATGGAAAAACAAGTGGATCAAAAGCAAAAACTGGACAACACCAAAGCAATCAATGATTAGTTATCGGCGTGGAAATCGGAAGGGAAGGAAATGCAAAGCACCGGCGCGCGTTCGATTACGGTTGAACCATTGAAGTCTGGGGAAAGGAAAAAGGAGAAGGACGGTTAGGAGGACATCAAGAGTTAAGCTTTGCGGCTTGCCGACAGGGCTGAGAAGCACACTCGGGTTTGGTCCCCTCTCGGCAAGGGTCAATAATCCGTGCCTTCCAATGCCACCCTACTTGAAGGGATGTGTGGATGTGTCATTGCGACTCCTAAAATTGGAAGGGTGTCTTCGAATTTCCGTCCGGGAGATGTAAATCGTGGGTTATCCGCGACCAAACCATTCTTATCTTCGTATTTGATACATATCCACAATATAATTTTACAAAACACATCCATTCGAAACATTATTTCCACGCCGTTCTTTAAGTAAGTGATGCTGGCAATTCGATGAAGACGCGTCAAATGTTGCCGGTGTGTCGTTTCCCCGTCTGACCGGTGACACAACACAAGCTTCTCTTCTTATGGCCCTAACCTATCTAGGTAACCTACCCGAGAATCTGAGAGTGAGGGCCCCACAAGGCTGATGCCATGCAATCACGTGCTGGGCACGTGCTAAAATTGCTGGCGTCGCTTCGTTCGTCAGTCGCGCGGCCCTTCGCTACGCTACGGGGCGCTTCCTTCCTCTCTCCCGCTCCTGGCAATTTTCCTGTCCCTCTCCGGAGGACAATCGGGGTTAGGGTTAATTACGGGAGAGACGAAGCGCCAATATCTGTCCGTCGGCCAACAACTCCATCTGCTTGAGCCATCTACGAATCGTTTCTATTCCGCCACTCACGTTACGTATCTACACTCACGTCCTCGCTACTTACAAATCAATTAGACTCTGAGGGAACCTCCCCCGCCACAGCATCTAACGCCTGCAGTTGCCTGATACCGTGATCGGACAACTTCAACCCCATAGCTGGTGATGGTGTCTCGCGGTAGATCCTGCTGCGGTCGAGTGGGCGGCTTATTAACATCAGCCCGCCGAGTGTCTTCACCCGCGAAACGGCCACGTAGGAGAGGCCAGAAGCAAACTCTGGCGCAGAGATGTCGCAGACGACCTTGTCCAGGGTGATGCCCTGTGATTTGTGGACGGTGATCGCATAGCTGACCAACAGCGGGAACTGCTCTCTTGAACATGAGTTGGCGCCGACCATGAAGTCATGCCGCACTCGGAGGATGGGAACAGCCAGCTTCTCTCCACTACGGAGAGGCTCTCCGTTCGGCATCGTGAAGCCCGGGCCGTCGTAGTCATCGAAGGCCACCATGATGACCTCGGACGGGTCTCGCAGCACGTCGGTACCTTCTTTCCAGGATATGTCGTAGACTGTGCCCTGTGCGCCGTTGACGAGCCCGACGTCGGCCCACAAATTCCGCGTCAGCATCACCCTGCAACCAACACACAAGGGCAAGCGCTTGGCCAAGTTGCCGGCATCTGAGGATTCAACCTTCTCCGCACCAACACCCTCATGCTTTGCCTCGACCTGAATGGCGGGGCTGTCCAGGCCAAGCATGTGTTGGTGGTTGTACTCGACGACCTGGGCCTTGGTGGGATAGATGCGAAGCGCATCAGCAAAGCTGTCAACCTCCTCGGGAGAGAGCTTGACAGAGCATCTCGAAGCGAGGAGCTCCCAGGAGGGTACTGACACATCAGCTTTTCGCAGTTCTTCCAAGGCCCGCCGAAACGGGGCCTGGTCTTCGCCCTGCTGCCGCTGTATTGTGGTCAGAAACACCGACTTGTCGAATGAGAGGTAAGCATTACGCCCGACAATCTCGATGCCCTTTAGGTCGTCGCGTGTTGAGTACAGCGGCTTGTTCAGAACAGGGGGAAGCTGGAAGAAGTCCCCGATCAGGATGACGCTGAGGCCGCCGAAGAACTCGTCACGATTCTCCGGGAACACCTCTCGTAGGCGCTGGTCGATCCACGCGAGGGTCTTGAGGCCGAGCATGCTCTTCTCGTCAATCACGAGGTAGTGGATGCCCCTGAACCCCCGCTGCAAGGCGTTGAGGGTCGTCGGGGTCTCGGAGAGCGAGCGGTAATTGCCGTCGACGGGGAGCCGCAGAAGGGAATGCAGAGTCTGTCCCCCTATCTGGTTGCTCGCCACGCCCGTCGGGGCGGCCCTGACAATGGGGGAAACTCGGCCATAGGAAGCTGCCTCGGCCTGAAGATGAGAAGAGATGACCTTCACCATGTACGACGTTCCAGTCCCACCTCCTCCGTCGATCTGTAGACGAAGGGGCGGAGGCTGACGGTTCTCGTTCTTGGCTCTGTAGTGGCGCATGACCGTGTCGTATACCTGCTGCTGCTGCGTGTTCAACGTGTCACGGGCTGCGAGAGGCATCTCTTCCACGTCGTAATTACCTGGAGCGTCTCCACGGAGTTGCACCCAGTAACCTCCGGTACCAAACTGGTCGTGCCGGTAGCGACCAATGTGTCGTGTCCAGTCACAATTGACATCAATGTCTCGGCGTCCAAGCAAGTCGGCTAGTTCTTCGGGAAGTTGGAGGTCGGGGACCAGCCGGGCCACCTCCTGCCAATCCTCAAGTGTGATGTCCCCAGCATCCTCCCCTCGCTCGAATTCATCCTCTTCCGGCAGCGGATCGGGCTCGTCGACAATACCGTAGTGGTCGTCCTGGTGGTCGTGGTGCTCGAGACAGTAATGATACGCGGAAGTGTAGTTGTCAAACTGCAGATCATCAACCTCGAGCAATTGTTCCGACTGGCGATGGGGGTGGTTCAGGAGCAGCTTGACGCGGCAGAAGTCAGAGTACTGCTGATGGGAACGGACCGGCTTGTACCGGGGGTAATAATACAACACCCTGGGCATTGCAGGAGGCTGCCAGATCGCCCACCTCGCCGGATTCCGCGCCTTGAAGTTCCAGTCTTGCAGGAACTCAAAGTAGGAGACGTCATCCATTGAGGCAGGCCGCCGAAGATACCTCTCGTATGCTGTCTGAGACTCCTGGATATCGCCATCAGCCGTGATGTCGATTGGGCGAGCATGCCTCTCGTGGGGTCTACAGTCAACACTCTGGACCACTCGGCTATCCTCTTGGAGAGGGAGTCCCAGGAGGATATGGCAGATCTCCTGCGCAGAGTAGTCCCTCTCTCCGATTAGTTTGTTCATCAAAGAGAATTTTCTCCGCGGGCGATTGCGCGAGAAATCTCGATGCTCGCTCGCGACGCTTCAATCTGCGAAGGTTAGCTGAAGAAACGACTATCGTTACCTTAACTAGGGATATCACATGAAGCTTCTTCTTGTGCCGGCAACTTAGACAGTTGACAACAATCCTTCCGTTCCCGCGGGCATCAAGGAACTGGTCAATGTTCTGCTCAGTATTGCATTTGGTACACGACTTGCGTGTCACGGCTGTCTCCGCAGCGGCCTCGGCAGTGCCGCCCAGAACGACTATCACGTCTTCCATAGAAAGGCCTGGGTTTGAAAAGCGGTAGATGTGGAAACGGCGAGAACCGCGATGTTCGCGATTGTCGAGCGGATTGCGAGGACACGATGGATGGATGGAATTTATTTCGCCCGGAGGCACTGGGCCTATAGGGCCTTAGCACGCTAACTACATCCGGATCAAATCGTTTTGCCTTTAACTCGTACAAGCCCCCTACTTCTTCCCTCTTTCTCGCTGCACCATTTACCTCTTGCCTTTGCGAGGACACGGAGATGAAGCAGTTTCGGCAGAGCCAATGAGGCACGTGACCAACATCGAGTGCAGCGTGCTCACGAACCAATCGGCCATCGCGATAAGGATATCAATTCCCAGAGTAATTTTTGCTTATCAATTTCCCATAGTAATTTCCAAAAGTTTGAGCGCAATATTGTCCTCCGGACAGGATAACTAATTAAGGTGTGGAAAATCTTGAGGCTCGCATCGCCGTGCACCGACAACACATCTTGCGTCATCATCTCAGGTTCCTCCTCCTCTCCGCACACATTTTCTGCCCGAATTCCATTTCATTATCCAACCTACGGCCACTTAACTTGTTATTCATCTCAACCATCAAGGAGTCATACCATCCAACCTTCGGATTCTAAAGAACTACCTGTAGCCATGTCGCTGCACAACCTTCCACCTGAACTGGTCATCCAGATTTCTCGCTTCGATCACCTCTCTATCCGACCTACGAGCACTGGCGTCTACCTCGCGGACAGTCTACCGCATATTCGAAATCGAAAAGGCGGCCCTGATCTATCAAGTACTTGCCAAACAACTGGGACCGGTTATTGACGACGCCACCGGGTTTTCCCACCTTCAGCGTTTCGACCCTCGAGCGTCCGATTACTTTAGTGACGATTACCGAAACTCCATAATCAAATACGGCGAGTACCTGTCGGGTCATGGGCATACACCCCCCCGCCAGCTGTCGCTGGATTATGTTCTTCGCCTAGTCCGCACATACCGTACTATGGCCACCCTAAGCAAAATGTATATCACCTGCACATTCAACTTCATCGAACGCGAGGCGCTACCTGTGTGTCATACCTCGAACAAACCTGACTTGTCGGCTGCCCCAAGTCGCTCCGAGTGGCTGCGCGTCCTGCGGGCACACTATAGGTTGCAGATGGTCCTTTCTATGTATTTTGCGGGCGAGTTCGGGGGCATGGGGGAGCTCAGGTGCGCTGCCCATCCGAAAGAACAGGAGACTCCGACGGGCGCGGGAGGTCCGAAGCAGCAAAGCCGCTGTATTCAGACTGTGGAGCCCATAGGAAATCCAGCAGATCTTCTGTGTCGGTGGCTTCTATAAAAGACTCGCACATCAAATCACCCTGTCCGCTGATGACCCGATGCACTGGAATGAACGCTTCGAGACCGAGCTCGTTCCG